TTTTTAAGCCCCAGAAGGGCGAAACTGATGGTGGGCTGTCGGGGAGTTCTTGGAGTTTTTATGTATGTATTATGTCAATTCACTTTATTCTTTCTCGGCAATTCGCCTTAACAAAGCTCTGGGTTTATTTGACTACTCATGAGTAGAGGAAGTATTGGTATCCGAAATCGCTCGGTAGCAGGCGAATCACAAACAAATTGAGAGAATACGAGATCACGAAATCTCGCTTGCTCGACGCTCTGTGATAAACGATGGCCCAATTCAAACGCATTCACTGCGACTCCGCAATGACTCATCAGACATCTATCTAATGAGTGTCTGGGTGCCGTCTGCATGGATTCTTCTGGGGTGATGGAGAAACGATATCGTCTAAACATTCGGAAGACTGTTTTTTCATCAGATGGGAAGCGACGAAGATTCGAGAGTTTTTGAAAAGAATTTAGTGATCATAATGCAGAGGGGAACATGGATGCTAAAGATGTGTTATACTGAACAGAACCAGCGAGATTTTGGATTATCCACTGAGGGTCCGTGTGGTTTTCAGAAGGTTAAAGGATCCGGGCAATAGATTGGTTTTGATGCGTCACACCGTTTTTGAATCGAACCTTTAAATTTACTGTTGATTAGACTGTTAATTATGGTTTTCCAACCTTTGATCCCTTACTGTCCAAGACAGACTCTATGTTTTATCACTTTCTGTCCATGACACATGAGTTGCGTGTACTCATTTACGGGGCACTTTCGACCATCAAGCAGTGACAAAATAACCATTTCTTTAATGAACTGTACGTTATGAAAACTATGCCAAGAGGGCATGTCATACAGGATATTGGTGAAAGAATCTGAGGACAAGCAATCAATTTTTGTCAAAAAGGATGTCTCAGTGGATCATGTTGTGTTGGAGACCAACGCCAACAATAGGAAATTCAATAGGATGCAGTGCAACTTGTATTAACAGCCTAGATTGATAGGACCCAACGACGGACCCCTCTACCATGTATCCCTAAGTATTATTGCGTAAATTTTATCGTAACGACAGTAGGACGAGTGAACCGCTGGTATGTGATCGATCTGTACTAGATATGAAACAGAACCAATCGCGTGCACAACCTCGGTGACACCGAATGAGTAGAAATCACTCAAACGAGAATGCAGAAAATTGACCCACCGAATACAGCATTGATGAAATGAACACAGCGGACGAACCGATATTTAACAAGCACTCAACTGATAGAATTCACGTGCCCATCGCATCTATCAGTTCCATTGCTTTAAAGATGCATACTGCACATTGGGAATACTATCAGGATTATACTATACCACACTACCAATAATATATCATCATATCTTCATGTGTATATTATCATTGCAGGACGAGGAGCGTCACCAACAAAAACGCGAACTTTTAATGCTGCTACTTGGTTATTTTGTGATCAGAAATTTTAACCGACAACCCACCGCTAATCTGTAGTGAACTGATATGTGGATGACTTTCGCTTTGGCGCCCATCCATCCCTTCGGAATCGTAATCCTATCAGAGGGTGATTATAAAATGCACACTCATTTTCAACACTTAAGTAATGATGTCAACGAGAACGCGTGAGAGTTCGTAACGAAAATACTGTGTTGATCTCCACCAAACTGTTCGAGTCATTTTGGTTCGAAAGAATGCGCCGTCGTCGAAATATGTTCCGAACAGCGCATATCAGCCTGTCTCCATGGGTCAATATATTTTTTTTAGTACGGAAAGTATGCGGTAGGGAAATTATGCCCCCTATTCGGATAAACTCACGCAGTTCAATATTTGTGTGACCATCCCATGGGTTTACTTCGGCCTTTTAAGGAGGTTTTCATTTATGTATGACCCTAGCAGGCCCATCACAAGAATGAGCCACGATACGCACATATCTGAAGCGATCCAAGAGAAGCAAACGATTTATCCTAAAAACCTCATGGACTGATGTGAAATCGGCGCTTAGATTTATATTCGGGTACCAGTAAAACTGTTTGGAGATGGACCATGGGATCCGTTTTCCATTGGGACGCTTTTTAGCTTTATTTTCTTTAAGCCGTTTCTTGTTTGTGTGCCGCTTGTGAGATTGCGCTGAACAGCTCCTCTTTTGGACGTTTTCTACTGAATGTTGGCACCGCAACTTCGTAGTTTTACTGCCTGCTAATCTAATCCAAAGAGAATTCTAAAAGTGCGAGTTTTGCGTTGTCGAAATTCTTTTGTTGTATCTAAGATAGGGTAATTGTTATGTAGACAAAGATCTTTCAACTACTTCGAGAACGCATATGGAACATCTGACGACTTCACTGGGTATGCAGTCAGACTACCAATTAACCAACCTACACAAGCGTTTCAATCATTTGCTTGGATGGACCAATCCAGTTTACGTTTACCAGGGCGATTTAAAAATGGAAAGTCTGTTATGCATATAAAACTAGGGAAGCAGATAGGGAATTAGTAGTAGCGAAACTCCTAGAGAGAGCGCCCATGAGCGCTTCAGTCTGAAAGAATGCCATTGTTCCTGTAACCGAAAACAGAACACCGTATCGTTGGTCACTCAGCGATGGGGTCTGATCCAGTCTACCCACCTGGATGTCTAAATTGGCGTACAATTTTAAGCGTGAAGTTATTCTCCTTAGTTGTAATTATATAAGACCCTTCAGATGTGCTTCAGATGCCGGAAAGAATGACAAAAAACATGGTTCTTATACTTGATTTGAGTGGAAACATGGTTCGCCAAAGTCACTTTGACAAGACTGTTTTTAAACCTCTCTTTTACTTTCGTTATAACTAAGTGTTTCGTCAATTGCATAAACGTTTTTTGTTTGAAGATAAAAAACTACAAAAACGCGCATTTGTACAATTTCACGCAATACAAACGTGGTCACTTACTTCGACTTTCTCGTCGGATTTCGCTCACGCTTACAGCAGTCATTCGCGAGTTTAATACGCTAACTCTGATATAAAAACATTTCAGACTATTTTCGGAACTTATTATATGTGAGAACCGTTCAGGATAAGACCCTTGGACAACCATGGTTGTGTACTCAACCTAGGGTTGTTGTTTTTATTTCTTGGCACACACTCCTTGTAAAGTAGCTTTTGGGTAGCCAGACCACTACACATCTTAGCTGACCTGCGATTTGATTTGGCATAAGTTTCAAACACAAATTCATGGTTCAGGGGTCATAGCCCAGTAGTAAGTAAAGTACAAATTCGGTCAACCGTGTTGAATATAATTGCCCCACTTATCACTTAATTTACAAATTGTCTTTCACTAGTAATACCCAGCTCCACTAGGGACGGTAGTTGGCCTGCTTGATATGTGGCAGGTGTCGTAGTTCCGCCCTTTCCAAGGAACAATTGCCATTAATTATCTTTCCTAGGACCGCCTCCTGAAATTTACACACTGAGTATAGTTTCTTACAATTATGGGGATTATGGAAACTTCGTGGTATTTCCTATCATCATGATCAATGTATGTGGCATGTGACAAGATAGTCAACATGAACGCCATCATGAGACTGTCCATCATTAACAAAGTGCCATTCTTGAATAAAGCGCTGGAGAGCTGGAGTGACGCTGTGGTGACTGAGGTTGCTACAACCCTTGTGTCCGCATATTCAAAGATATTCGATAGAAATGCCTGTTTGCCCTCAAGTGTTTGGATTAAAGGAGGGCGATTATATTGTTTTTTTCGGCTTGGAGGCGCGAATTTAGGCACAGTATCGTTTTTAGGATTCATAAGGACGCTCCTATCACAGACAAATGGGTCAGAAGAGTTAAGCGTTTTGTCTATCTGGCCATCCTTTAAACCTCTGCACTTAAAATGTCATCAACCCAGGTGAGAATGACGTTGCATCGTATGTTTTATATAATTTCATGCATCAAAACAGGCAGTTTTGCACCGCACACAGTCACATAATAATCTGCATTCTTGACCCACTAAATCCAGTGGGAGGGTCACAAAACACCTGGCGAAGCGTTTTTGTGATGAACATGACTGATGCTACTATTGCACTATTCATTATGCTGTTGTTTTAAATAGTTCAAGTGATATACATACGCCTATTTGAATACACACGTGCTACTCGTTACATCGTGCTAAATTATAAATTCCTAGTTTTTTGGCCACCACTGGCCATGTTTCTACTGGTTTACTAACTTACTGTTTACTACAAACGAGACTACTCACAAAGTTGCTGAAAACTGCTCGACAGCCCACGACCGGTTTCGTCCTCTTCGGGCTCATCAGGTAGGCGCAGTTCCCGAGTTTCCGTCAACCTCATGTTTTACCTGAACCCAAATTGAACTGTTTTCGAGAAATAAAGTCATTTGCAAATCACTTTGGTTTTCACGACAGACTCAACTGAATCTCTCGTTTATGATATTCTACAACTGAATGTGCTGCACACAGGCCACCTCATGTTCCAGTTGGCACAGTATTTGAGATATCGCAGTATATTTTCATGAAGGAGACTACTCACAAGGTTGCTGGAAACCCTTCGACAATCCACGACTGCTTTCGTCCTTCTTTGGGCTCATCAGGTAGGCGCAGTCTCCGAGTTTCGGCCAGCCTTATGTTCTACTTGACCCCAAATTGAACAGATCACGAAAAGCACACTCTTACGCATTGCAACTGGTCTTCCACGGAAGACTCAACTGAATATCTCGGTTATCGTATTCTTCAGTTGAGTCTCTCGTGAAAACCAAATTGATTTGCAAGAGTGCATTTCTCGATTCCTGTTTGCTAGCTTCTCAATTTCGCCCATTTTTTGCGACGATCATTGACCAGTGTCAAGTAAATGTGCTAAAGTCGGGTGGCGGTTTTTGCTTACTTAAAGTATCCGCAGAATTATGAATGTATTACGGGGTAGAGACAAAGGCGTTATCATTTCTTTTGTGAATTATATTCTCGGATCTGTTTACTCTGTGAAGATGGCGATGTATAGGAGCACTGACCAATTTTCGCTCGTCTCCGTATACGAAGATCAACATGGACACAAGTTCAACTGGAACACCGTTCACATATTGGCTCAAGCGAGAACAAAGAAGGAACGTGAATTCATAGAAGCATGGCACTCTACTGAAAAAGCTCTCAACAAACACATCGAAATTGATCCAGTCTATGGGCCACTGCAAACAAAAGAACGCAGAGGCGGACAAAGAGAAAAGGAGCAAACAATCAGGCTGAAGCAAGGAAACTAACAAAAATAGAAGACACCGTCACAACTAAGCAGAATCAAGGGAGGAAGACCACAACGAAACACAAGCCGGGAATGGACCAATTGCAAACAGACCCGGAACACCCCAAAACAGCCATCCAACAAACCAATGGAATAAGAGACACACTGACCACAACGCAGCCAAACAAAATCACGATCGATCCTACCATGATACAACAGAAAGCACATACCAACTGACCAATCACATGACAGGATATTGAATGCTCTACAAAAAAACTACATAAACGCAGCTAGGCACGGAGGAAGCACCCATTCAACTGCGCACTGGCGATGTCTCCTCGACTGGGGACGAAACGTTTGCAAGCCAATTGCCAAGATCGGCGAACAGATCAACTGCCATCCGGTCAGCCATCATTTCGGTAAAATTTCTGTCTTTGGAAAGCCATAGAATATAGGCACTCTACTTCCAGGTTTGATGGACACCGCCGTTTGTGGAAAATTCCTTGATTTGTTCATTGCTGTGTAAAAAATTTCGCACCCCATTTTCGATTTGATTGCATTGACTATGCTCAAAGTGCATCACGCGTATTATTACAGGCTTTTTGAATATGTATGGACCACGGGCATTTGGCGGATGATGTGACGGTACGTGAAACCTTGGATCGGTTTCTCACGTTTCCATTCCAGTCATTTTTGGTTAAACTGAGGAAAGATGTTTTCGGGCCGTAGAGCCCCGCCGTTAAGCTAAAACGGCGTCTTGCTGAACGGGCACTATCAGCTCCTGCTGAGACGCAGGAGTGACTGCCGACAGAAAACTGTAGGGCAGGTGCACCCGTTCCTCTCTGTGGCCTCTGTAAAAAGTAATTTTTTGTAATGACCAATCCAGAACAAATATAGGTTGACAAACTTGTTTTCTGCAGTGTCCTTTTAAGTCATACAATTGCAAAGGTTAAGACAGCAGTATTTAACATATTTGTACGAGCATGGTGTAGACGAACGAGAAATCGAGTGAGAGACGATATTGCCTATCTATCAAATAACAACTAGTTCAGGCCACCAACAGAATGACTTGAGCTTATCAGTGTGGGTAGTGATGTGGTTGTGTTCAACACAGGGTTCAGAAATCCCAATCCGAAGTACTCATTCTCTAGTGATGGAGGTGTAAAACGACGAGTCCAAAGAACTTCAGAAATCTTGCTTGGTCGACCAATTTTCCCTCACTTGTTGAGTAAAGCTGTAATTTTTTTGAAAATCAATTTTTTACTTAGTTCGACTTACGGTCATCGGCCGTCTGAGATGGTGCCGCCACACCTGTGGACCACTGAACAAACTGATCGCTCCGGAGAGGAGGCATGCAGTTCCGACATATTGTAAGTATCCATTCCCTTAACCAAAATATCCCATGCAATCTGACTACGTTTTGAGGTACACTTCATCCCCACTCATACATCCATCCTTAGATGAACTGCACGACAAAAGTGTGAGAGCCGATGTCTTCCGAAGTGAGTTGATGTCACGCTTCTATTGTTTTTTTCAAATATTAGAACTGATGGACTGTTTGGAAATGAAGGATACATGGCCGAACTATGTAGGGAAATGCCTCATTTCGTGTGCATCTACGCCACAAGTACAGGAGTACAACTCGGAAGAGGTCAACAGAATGACTGAATTAAAGATTTGGATGCTTTCTTGCTCATACTGTTGGATGCGGAATCTAGGAAACAGTCAATAGCTACCCTCTCCCCCGGCCAGCTTTTGTTCATAAAAGTTTTTTTCTCTCTGGAGACTGAGCTGCTCTGACCTCTGTCCTGTCAGTTAGAAACATGGTTCGTGGCATTTCCCCCTTGAGTTCGCAGAACGAATAACTTGGTCAGAAGGCAAAGATGACCTGTCTCATGCAGTTTTACGAAGGCTATCAAAAGTTAAGATGATTGTTTTCTAGTGACGCCTGACGCTTTAGATGTTGTGTGTAGCGGACTAGGACCTTATCAGCATGTTCGGATAAATTAACAAGCAAAGTAATCAATACAAAAATCACAAAATCACAATAGGAAAAGAATGAGTAGTCAAATGAGGACCGACGAATGTGTATGTCCAATAGTCCACTACACCGATCCAAATGCAGTAACTGGCTGTGAAAGGAAACATTCACTTGTCGAAATTTCCCACAGATGATTCCGCGTGAGTGATATATTCCACGGCAGGAAAATTATTCACTGCTAAAAAATGTCACAGGGATTTATTGCGACGTTCAACAGTTGACACAAGCACAGAGATTTAGTCCCACTGGTTCAGCATTCAACAAACAGTTCAGCGGAGCGTAAATACGCTCGTTCAGCAAGAAGTCAGCAGGTCGCCCCGGAAAAGTGTGTATTCGTAACATTAAAACAAACTTCATGATACAATGTGAACGACAGTTACAAAGTGTGGTTTATGTTCAGGAAGAATGGTAAATGTGACAACGGAATGCAAACACTACAGTGTGGCACTACCTGTGGCTATACACTCGACTTTCACAGTGGAGTTGATAGAAAAAACACTTCACTCTTGGTCCAAGGAAGCGTTTGGCCGGAGCCCTGGAAACCGAAAGCTTCGAAGTAAGATGGTCATTTGGAAGTGAATTGACGGAACTCAGTGATGCAACCACTGTTGAAACATTTATATTTTTGCATTTATCTTGTTATCCTTCGACCATTCAGCATGTTGCAGTAAGCACAACAAGGTTGGTAATCAGGTACAGAGTTTGGTTATATCTCTGATGCCATGAGGTTAGACGGTAAGACTGAGTGCTCTGCGGCGCAGTCATTTAGCGACGCATGTGCCCCAGCCAATTTAAGGCTGAAACCGTTAGTCTCTTTCGGCTGCAATGGGTTTGAGAAAAAATTGTGGAGGACAAAAATGGTACTAAATTTTATTTTCGGTTGGCATCTTTGGCCGACCATAACCACCAGTTGATCCACCTGGAGCAAAACTAAATTACAGAGCGGCACATCCGCACACTCTGCATCCACAAGAGCTACATGAGTTCTAGAAAGTTCAATGAATTATTTCATCCATAGAATTACCTGCAACTGTCGTACATTGTAAGCGATCCACATTTTACCGCGATTCGTTATACGTTATTCCATTTGACACCGGTTTCCCAGTCGATGGTGATTGGTGGCCTTTGGAGATTCGCTTACTTAAACAAATTATCCATGCAGAAAATTCGCAGGATATTTATTATATATAAACATTTTTCACTGTGAAGTGGCAACATTAAAAACCTCATAGTTTTCGTGAATTCAATTTCATCTTGCGAATACTGAGCGGCATAGCAAGGTTCTTTAATACCGCGGAGACCTGTGAATTTTCTGGGAGCAAAAAACAAGACCTAAACATATAGGGGTACAACTGGGCCACAAAAATTAATTGCTTGCACAATTTGACACGACCTTAACAATTTTAGTTGATCGTTCTATGAAGGGCGGCACAATAATCCTTTTGAAATTATATTTTCGCTATCAGATCCTTCTATCGCCGTGTCCTGTAAGATTTTCTGCACCACCCAAAAATATTATCTGTTGTTATACTCCAGAAGGAGAAGCTAATCCGGATTCTGCTCAGATGTGACGCAAACGCTCACGCTCGTGCATTTGAAAACAAATGTTGCGGGCTCGTAGCATTCGTGTTATGATGCATTTAAGCTTCACTTACATGGGCTAAGTGAGTAAAGCACAGCCAATTATGAATAAAATCAGATGACAAGAAGCTTGGAAAAAGGGAGTTTCAAAGGAAAACATTTAAAGGACCTACACGTTTCCTCAGTTCACAGTAATCGTACCTCTCTGAGCTTTGAAGCGTTTAACTGCCATCGTTGTTTGCTGTTCAGTCATTCAAACGATGAATAATGATTTCTACCTTCCCAACAGATCCACGCGAGATGGCTCAGTGGTGAGGGCACTAATTTATTGACTGGAAGGTCTGTGGTTCAAACCTGATGTATTCATCACGGTTTCTCCGAGTCCAAACTTGGGCAAACTGACACCATCCTAGCACTTGTGCTTCCTTCGGGTGGCATAGTAGCTGGGCACCAGGAAAGTGCTACAGACGAAAGATTATTGTATCTTCCAGTGCTTTGATATTTGAAATCCCCCACGCCTATTTTGGCCGCTGGCTATTTGGACACCCAAATTATTTTCGCCGAATCTATAGGGTTTTTGAAGTTGTGACTTTAACGGAAAGTTAGTCTAATCCGTTTGCACCTTCCGGTGGCATGTTGCTTGTAACATTTTGTTTAAGTGAGCAAGATTTCAAGGTCACGGGCCTTGAAATTTCGCGATTTATCGCCGCTGGCTATTCGCACAATGAGATTGAGTTCTCGAAATCTACCTACGTTTCAGACTTGCCACTTCATAGTGT